TACCCTTGGGTTACCCACCTGGGAAATATCCACCTGAAAACTCCCGTCATGAGAGCTGCGTTCGCAAAATGAAACGACCCCATGATCCTTGGGTCTTGTTTTCCCATGATTTTCCAGGAGTCATCCCCCTTAAGTAAATAGAATATAAGGTATGTGGGGATTTTACTATAATACACCCGAAGCCATGTTAGAATATACTCGAAGTTATGATGTAACTATTTAAGGGGAACTATAACCCAAAAATGCATAACCCAAACGCAAAGGGGGTTCACCAACACCCCTGAGGCAAGCACCTTAGTTGCAGCAGAGCAGGGAAAGTAACAGTACAGGGGATAGTTGATGGCATGAGGTCGGCTTGTACGGAATTACCCCCCCCCCCCCGCCCCCCCTCCCCCCCCAAGACCATGGAACAGGCCTAGAAGTGCACATATAAACAAACATAGTTGGTAGGGGGGGTTGGCGCCTACTACTACTACTACTACTACTACTTCCTTTTACTACTACTACGACAAATACTACTACTTACTAAGGTTTTCCTCACTTCATGTGCGTTTTGCAGTGGTTTCGGACAGATTCTGGAGCCCAAGCTAAATTCCAGTAGTCCATGGGTTTGAGGTGTTCTGAACTAATTTTCATTTTTTCCATAAGTCCAAGATTCGGCCAAGTAGCCCAAGCTTAGCTCCAGTAGTCCAAGGGTTTGACGAGTTCTGAACGAATTGGTGCAATTTTCCCATTAGTCCAAGGTTCGGCCCAGTAGACCAAGCTAAGTTCCAGCAGTCCAAGGGTGTGAGGTGTTTTGAATTTTCAATTTTCCCATTATTGCAAGATTCGGCCCAGCAAACCAAGTCAAGTTCCAGTAGTCCATGGGTTTGAAGATTTCTGATCTAATTTTCATTTTCCCCATTAGTACAATAATGCTTGAGCTATACTATTCAGGATTTTGACGACAGCAAAGGGGCCCAATAACACTTGACCGATACTGTTCGGAATTTGGAAAATACCACAAGGGACCCAACAATACTTTACCTACACTATTCGGGGCTTGGAAAATAACAAAAGGGCCCACTAATACTTGACCTATACTATTCAGGATTTTGACGATAGCAAAGGGGCGAACACTTGATCTACACTATTCGGAGTTTGAAGAATAACACAACGGGCCCAACACTATTCGGGGCTTGGAAAATAACAAAGGGGCCCACTCTTCAGGATTTTGAGGATAGCAAAGCGACGAACACTTGGCCTACATGATTCGGGATTCAGAAAACAGCAAAAAGGGCCCAATAATACTAGACCGTGGTCTGCTTGTCCGCAAGGACAGCAACGGTGAACTTTCGAACTTGACATGGCATCGTGTTTGAGCTAGAGAGTTGTCAATGTGGAAGAAAAGTAGTTTGCCGTCCTGGCAACGGAACATGACTGACATGCGGGACTGCTGACCCTGCCACAACTTTTGCACACCTGAATTACAAAAAGCCTACCGTCAAATATACAACGCGCGCGTACTACTATTCCTACTAACTACTATCACCACTACTACTACTACTACTACTACTGGTACTCGTACTAGTACTACTTGTACCAGTACTAGTACTAGTACTGGTACTAGCAGTAGTCGTAGTAGTAGTAGTAGTAGTAGTAATGGTACTAGTAGGAGTAGCCATAGCAGCAGACAGTGAGGTGAAATATGTGGTCGCGGTCCTGCTGCGAACACAAATCATCAATTCACAGTCAAGGGTCATCTGGCAGAAGGTTGGGCATTTCTTCGCCATCTCACGGTCTGCCTCTTTAATGGAATCGTCCTCAGGGGGTTAGGGTCTGGGGATTGTAGGGCTTGCTGGGGCTGTTCCGAAAGCCTTGGATAAATGTCCGTACTTACCCGACAATTCAAGCGTAATACGCAATGACTTTAAGTTTTCGCTGCCTGAGTACAACTGCCCGCTTAATGGTGCCTGCTAAGCAGGCTACAAACACTCTGACTGTCGACACGGAACCCCTAAACCCTAAATCCTAAACTGCGGTCCTCCAGGTATCCCGGCTTTCCTAAACCCTAAACCCCCTCGCTCTCTCCCTCCTCCAAGTATCCCGGCTTTCCCTTTGCGCCGACATACTGCCCCAGAACGACTTCGCAGGGGTCAAAAGGCTCCATGGCTTTCAGCAGCTCTACCTGTTGCTTGGTGGCCCTAAGGGTCCAAGGACCCAAATAATAGGGTTTAGGGTTTATAGGGTTTAGGATTTAGGGTTTAGGATTTGGGGTTTAGGATTTAGGCTTTGGGGTTCAGGGTTTAAGGGTCCAAGGACCCAAATAATAGGGTTCTAGGGCCCAGATACTGTATTTTTATTGGTATTTAGGCCCTGAAGCCCTATTATCTGGGTCCTTGGACCCTTAGGGTGGGTTGCGGTTAAGAACTTATAATACTTAGTTACTATATTGGGGAAACCCTATTATTTACTAGATTTACCCATTGCGGTAACTTAATTTAAGTTCCTTAACAGCAACCCAGGTTGTCTGGGCCGTATGATTTGAGCAATGAATTCGTTTACCCTGCTGAAGTGTGCGGGTTGATTGAAGGGCTGAGGGTTTCGGGTTTAGGGTAACTGTACGGTTCATCGGTTGGCTTTGGGCTTCAGGATTCTAGACTTTAGACACTGGGTTTTCAGCAGGAGGAGGCTGACCGCTTACCATCCCTCATGGAGTTTACCAAGACGACTATCCCCGTACCCCTTTGGAAGTACCTGATGTTGGGAGTTCGGATTTACTGTCCGAATATTAGGCGATGTCGACCTCAAGAGCGGGTTGTGCAGACCCTAAACCCTGTGTGGCTTATTCTCACAATTACGAGACCCTCTTGGTAGAGTATATATAGGCACCTACCATTTGGTGGTACCAAAATTGGACCCTAATTCTGGCAACTACCCATGTGCCTCCCGGGGAAGCACCCCGTTCAGTAAGATTGATAATGACCCCCCCCAACATAGTACCATTCTCCTACTAGTGCTTAAGGGAGACTGGATATCTATGGGGCTTATATAGGGATAATTAAGGCATTAAGGATCCACTCTCCCACCCTCCCCCAAGAACCAGCAAGTCATATATCAAGGGGGATATTCATTGTAAGGGGTGCTGTGTGGAAACTGCAACCTGCAAAATACAAAGGCCGCGGAAAATGACTCCCAATCTCAAGACACTCCGACCTTGCGATCACGGATGTCTGGTTCACCATCCATACTGCCAGGCCTTTCCATGGCCACCAAGCAAAGCATCTGCAGTAAGTGGTTCTGGATGACGTCTCTAATAATGCCATATTTGGTGAAATAGCCTCCACGTCCTTCCGTTCCAAAGTCCTCCTTCAACGTCACTCGCACTGCAGCCACATGTTTGTTGTTCATCAAGGGCTCCAAGAACTGATTCCTGGCTGCAACGTTGCTCCACACAGGGCTATATTGGGGTGATGGAGAAGAAAATGGAAATTATAGGGATTATAGGGATTCTATATATGGGGGTTATATAGGGATTATAGGGTGTGTATAAAAATATTCAATTATTGTTCTAAGGAATGCTCCCATTCAACAGCATCCCCACCACCCCAGGCGTCCCACATGAAAACATGAAAGCATTCTTCATGGATGGCGCAATGCCGTAAGAACCCTAAAGCCCTAAAGCCTAAACCCTAAACATAGGAAACACGGTCGCCTGGCGGCAGCCTGGCAGTAGCCGAGCAACACTTGAGGTATTGTACAAGTTACCCCTTTAACGGTACCCTAAACGTTAATGCGAAACCCCTAGGCTTCGCCTGCGGTACTGGTCCCGAAATGGTGGGCCAATATCTGGTCATGTACCCCAGCGCCCTAAGCCTAGAAATGACACCTCGTTTGGCCCTCAAGGTCTGTAAATGTCACCTCTTTGAGCCCAATGTATAGGACCCCACTATACACCATACCCTTATCAGGAAAACCCCGGACAAACCTTTTCTATCCTCTTGTTCCCGCTTACCCCTATATACATTGAAGGATCTGTTACTATATGCATGCAACCCTGAACCCTAAATGCAAGAGTCCCAAATCGAACGGCGAGGATGTTCTGGCAGATCTCATAGCCTAGAAAGTGGTCCATTCGGTAAATCTCTTCCTGTACGGGGCAAAGCATGTGGGTTTAGGGTCAATACGGGTGGTTCATGGTAGTTGCCAAAATTAGGGTCCCATTTTGGCACCCCTAGATATTAGTAAGGTGCTGTAATATAGTCTATAACCAAAAGGGGCCATTTGTTGAGAATAATCCATATTACTTACAAGGACCCCCCCCCCATCCTGCAATAGCTGTAGAATAGGAATATAAGAGGACCCTAATATAATCCCGATTATCCCTTATAGTCACTATTACTGGGTAACATAGTACCCTAAACGCCAAACTATTCCTTGATTCCTTGCGGACCAGAGGTGAGGCTGCTACTTCTGGGTACCCCACAGACATCCGTGGTTACAGGGAGGACTACATCTTTCATACCTTACTGGTGTTTCAGGGGGTCTGGAAGTGAAACTACTATAGCTTGGGAGGACCCCCCGCCCTGTAATAG